ATTATCGATACAGAGGCCGAATCTACAGATTTTATAATTTTGTCTGTCTGTCTGTCTGTCTGTGACCGCATCACGACAAAACCATTTGACATATTTTGATGATATTTGGTATGTTTTAACTGATTATCCAGGTTAACATACAGAATACTTTTTACATTGGGAAAATATCTCATCTCTGAGAAATCTATTCTAAACGTTAAAACGTAAGTAGAGACGAACCCGAACGGAGCGAAGCTGAGTCGCTATATATATAATTAATCATTTCGCGATGGAGCTCATGAAGGTTATCCAAGTGTTGGTAGCTTAAATATTTTTAACTTAGTAAGTACTCATATTTGGCGCAGTATGCAGAAAGCTTGAGAAAGACTTTTGAATAGATGTTGAATAAGAAATGATAGAAGGCTTTTTATTTCATTTATAGAGTATTAATATATTATATACCTTTTTTTAAGCTCTTTTTGCGATATTCGTACTTTAAAATAGAATATTTTCTTTCAAATGTATAAATATAATCTTGGTCTAGAGCTGAACAATTGCCCATCCATTCAGTGTTGCATGGTGTCCACATAGCTTTATTGAGAATTTTCCTTGCTTACCCTTTACGTTAGCTTAGATAATCGATATATGGAGTAATTAATGTTCAACAACGACACATTTAGATGACGTGTTCGTATTAGTGTAGTGCGCTGCGAAACAGGAATTCGCAGTTTGACGTCTAGTTAAGTAGCTTAGGGCTCGTTTATATAAATGCTACTTTTGCTTAAAGTAAACGGAATAGCATGCTATGATTTTTGACAACGTATTTAACAACATATAATAAAATTCTTTGTCGAATCTGTACATTAAATATTTTTTGGAAATTCTTATTGAAATTGTCATTATCATCGATACAGAGGCCGAACCTATAGTTTTTATAATGTTTGTATGTCTGTCTGTCTGTTACCCCATCTCGGAAAATCCACTGGAGGGATTTTGATGAAATTTGGTATGATGATAGCTTGGATACGGGTCAACATATAAGATACTTTTTACTGCGGGAAAATATCTCTTATCTGAGAAATCTATACTAAACGTGAAAACGTAAGTAGGCACAAAATTGAGCGGAGCGAGGGCGAGTCGCTAGTAATTAATGTCATTTCAAAATATTTTTTTTGTAATTTCATTTAGGTGATTGTAGTATATCCTATTGGCTAAGCCTGTTGAACTACTAAACTAAGTCCACGGTAATCAAATTTAGCAACATATTTAATATTGACTTTTATGGGCAATACAAAAAGGCCCATGAAAGTCTGTGTAACCCAAATTTCCCATGAAAATTTGTACCGCTACACGTATTATCGAGTGATATATTTGCAGTCTACACAAAAAGGAAAAGCTAAACGATGGGCTTTTACTATATCTCCAACATTCTTCCAATATGATTTTAGCAATATAAAATAACTTCTTCTTAATTTAAAAATGCAACTACATTGTAAATTTAATAGTATTGTAAAGTTCATTAGAAAATTCTTAGCTTCTACACGATGTGTGTCAGTTTGTTGGTAAGTCAGTCTATGTAGAGTTTTGTTAAATAAAAAATATATACGTAGGTACAGTAAAGATTTTTGATAAATTTTCATACTATATTATAATGTGGATAACGTAATTTCATAGGGACATATCTTGTTTCTGTAGTTATATAATAATTAGACACATATAATTGTTTTTTATTTATTGTACCTTGTGTTATCATACTACTATTATAAATACAAAATTTCGTAAGTGTGTGTATATTTATTATTACTTCTATTTACCCAGGTAGGTACACCATGACCTGGAGTACATAGGCTACTGTTAGTAATAAAATTTGGCAAAAGATGCCGAAGCCTACATCCATACTTCCATACTTAATATTATAAATGTGAAAGTTTGTTTGTTTCTCCTTCTTTCACGTCGAACAGAGTAACGGATTAGCGTGGTTTAGTGTGTGGAGATAGTTGGAAGGATGGAGAGTAATATAGGCTACTTTTTACTGCAGGAGATTATCTCATCGCTACGGGAAAACACGTTATAGTACAATCCAAAAATTATTTATGATCAGAATTACTTGAAATTTTGGTATTAATGTTTTTCAATATAATTACATAAATACGTGTTTAGCATTTTTCGAAATTCACCCCAAAAGGGGGTAAAATAGAATGAAAGTATGTGTGAAACCTATCTTTTTAGAGTTTTTTTTTGTAGTATTAGCGCGAGCGAAGCCGCGGGTTCTGATAGTAATATTATAAACAGGAAAGGCGAAAGGCGCTGAGAGACGCATCCGAGCGAAGCTACGATAAGTTATACATATTATCAAAACACATCCAAAAGTCGGTGTCAGCATTTTTAATTAAAGTATTTTGTTCCAATTAATCTGTAAGCCTCAATGATTATGTTTTGGTTCCTACGAAGTAAACAAGAATTCAGAGTATTGAAAGTCACGATCTAACCATCAACAATAATACATTTAATTGCCTACTCGGACGAACCGGATCACCAAGAAACACTATATGACAGATAAATAATATGAGTCACATGTATAGAAAAAGCTGGATAATAGCATCTTCATTCAGGATTATCTTCGGAATTGTCACGCTACCGCACTTAACACATCAAGATTCGAAGTAACTGAAGAGGCATATTAAATTTCTTTCAAGTTAGACTTTAAACAAATGAACAAAGTGAGAAAATTTACTCATATATATATATATTACTGGCATAACCCGCGGCTCCGCCCGCGTTCAGATAACCAAAAACCAAATTCTTAGATTTTACATATCAGTATAATCTTACATTGCAGTTTTTGTATTTTGTCTCTGAAATGAGACTTTTCCCGCGGTAAAAAGTATCCTATATAGTGACCTGGATAACCAGCTATCACCATACCAAATTTCATCAAAATCCCTCTAGTGGTTTTTCTGTGATGCGTAACAAAGAGACAGACAGATAGACAAAAATTCTAAAATCCATAGATTCGGCCTCTGTATCGATAATAATGTTTACTTAAATAAGATTTTCCAAAAAAATATTTAATGTACAGATTCGATTTAGTTACATTTTTATTATATGTATGGATTATTGCATATATATATATATATATATATATATATATATATATTATATATATATATATATATATATATATATATATAATTATATATATATATATATATATATATATATATATATTATATATATATATTATTATATATATATATATATATGATTATTTATGAAACAAACAATAAAATAAGTTTTTAAGTACATCTTTTTTTAGGTTTTATTTTTTGATTGTCTTCAATACTTTTTTTTTAAATAATGATTGTTTTTCTATTATTCCCATATTTTAAGTACAGCAACTTAATAAGTGAAATCCTATATTATTTTTGAACACAAAGTACCTATGGCTACACAGTAACTTTTATTAACGTTTACCCACTAGCAGTAAACTACTGATCAGATATAATAAAATTAATCAAACCAAGCTTATCAAATTATTTCAGTCCTAAATTAAATGAATATCATTAGGGAGTCAAGTCCTGAAGATGACAATTTATTTGTGGCTAGCTCGCAATTTGAACATTAAGTTCGGGCTGGAAGCAAATTAGGTATTACGCGTGAAGAGCTCTCTGAACGGAATAAATGCGTTTATAAAGTACAATCGACCGTTTGCAATTTACTGCGTAAGGGAAGAAGCCAAGGAAGCCTCTTGTGCAAAATATACGGAACATAGGTAATATATGAAAATAATATCGAAAATTAGTACGTAATATATGGAAATAATGTCGTAATCTATAGGTACATATAATAAAATTCTAACTAAGTCGAATCTCTACATTAAATATATTTTTGGAAAATCTTATTGTAATAAACATTATTATCGATACAGAGGCCGAATCTATAATTTTAGATTTTTTGTCTGTCTGTCTGTTACCGCATCACAGAAAAACCACTGGAGGGATTTTGATAAAATTTGGTATGGTGATAGCTGGTTATCTGGGTCAACATATAGGATTTTTACCGCGGGAAAATATCTCATGAGAAAAAATACAAAAATAATGTAAGAGTATACTAATATGTAAAACCTAAGAATTTGGTTTTTGGTCATCTGAACGCGAACGGAGTCGCGGGCAGTGCTTGTAAATAAATTGAACATAACATTTATTTCTTTCGACAAAAAAGTCTAATTTAGGAAGTACTACGCTATTGTAGGAAATAGTTGGCGATTAACACAATCGATCCTTAGACATTTTAATTGTCAAAGAGTGATCGCCCGCTCGTGAAACTGATTGAGTTAGACTTTATTACCTCGTTTGTAGTAAGAGGAAACGAGCAACAAAATGTGAAACGACACCGCATATTGATGGCTTCATTTCAGAATGCACCGGACCTATGCAAGTTTTATTTTCTTTTATGTCTATTTGTGTCAAAGTTATACCCTCAGTTACATTTCTAGTTTCAGGATGTTGAAATCGAACCTCAGTTCTCTGCATACGTTTTTTCCTTTTTAAGTTTATTTATTCGTACCGTTGTAAAAGGGATGCAGCAGGTACGAGAGATCCGGGCGTGCGACTCCAGCCATCCGGCACGGGTAGTGTCTTCCGTCCCCCATACCCCTACCGTCATTATAGCTGGCCGGGTCGTAGGGGCGCGGGGCGGGATGTGGGGTTGCCAATTACAAGAACACTCTTCATCCGGTTACGAGGTAATGAAATACGCTATTTGTTCGACTATAAAGGATGTCGGTTGTTAGATTGTATGAATTACAGTCAATCTTTATGGAAATATGTGAGTACAAAAGTCGTATACGTATGTTTCTACCCTGTAGTAGACTGTATAACCAAATATGAAACAAAATTTCATTAAATATGGTAACACAACACTATTTTAAATAGGCTAACAAAAATAACCACTTGCAATAAACGGAGCAATGCAAGTAAATAACAAAACGAACAATATAGTATTGTAAAGTTCCTGAATAAATGGGGAGTAAGCGCCTATTGTGTGGCAACACCGATGCAGGCTGGGCGCGTCCTGAAGCCCCGAGAGTTGCGTTAGTCCGCGCGAAGCGGCGCGGTGGCAAGCGCTCCGCAGTGTCCCGGCCGGCCGCCCTAAGGTACTCGCTTCCGCGCCATCCTGTTGCGCATCGCACAATGTTTATAATACCCTCACTATAAACTTCAGCCTTTGTAGTTCGCGCGCTTTCTTTATGCACCTTCTTTGTTGTTTCTTTGCAATTATTTAAGTTAAATTGTCCCTAATTATTTAAATTATTGACTGAATGATTCTATGATGAATAAATATTAATTGATATTAATTTGTAATCGACCAGAGTAATATATCATGATAAAGTCGCATCGAAAATTTTATTGTAATGGCTTCTTTGTTCAGATAAATTTTTAATTTCATTTGTTAAAGTAGTTCATCTGTTGAGTAAATTTAGAATAAATATTTTATTCAGTATAATTATAACTTTCGCGCCATTAATTAATGGACGGTACAAAAGAGGTAATACTTTTATAGGACATTTTTTGCGGGACGAGCTCTGCTCAGAATTTATCTCGCGCATGCTTAAATATTTAATGAAACGTGCGACACGGCTTAATAAGTAGTGAAACAGTCTATTTTTAATAGTTAGTTAAAAAAGGAGGCAGTATAAAAAACAATCCTTAATTCTTATTAAGATTGGTTAGTTTTGGCTGAAAAATATTGACCAATTATACAAATATATACAACTTTTTTAGTATTTGCTGCTAAGTAGGATAATAATAATATAAATATTTTAATATTATCATACACTTAAAAATATATTAGTCAATTATTATTAAATACTATGGTTTATATATATTCTAATTCTTGAAGAATTAAATTCTTTTATTCGGTGGCTCCTAGGAGTTCCGTTTTAGTCCATTTCGACACAATTTAATAATTACATTCTTAGTAATTGTGGAGACCTATTTATAAAAAAGGTAGATAAAAATATAATTGATAGAAATTTTTATCAAATATGCTTTTACGATTTTTGTAGGGAATATGATAAACAAAATAACTTATAAATATAAAGAATTTGAATATCCACACAAGAGACAGAAGTCACTTAGTAGTTCGCCTTTGTTTACGTAAACCAAAAGTACCTTACTTCTTCTATTTCACTCATTTTTGCCGTCAAAGAATCTTTTCTTATAATAAAATATACAAATAAAATCTTGCATTTAAACCTCGAGCTCTCTTTTGGCAGACAGTAGACGAAACACAATTTATTGTGATTGTGACATCGCTTCTGCCGTTTTATTTGTAGCGGCAGGTGGGCATTGGTGACGTTTATCGACATTGTATCTCTGATACCTTTGAAAGATGTTTTATTTTCATCTTGATTTTATTTTCAAAATATTAATTCTTAAAATATTTATTCATGCACTGCAAGCACTAGGGATATATTCTAATTCTAAGTAATAAATCATATTAATTAGTTAGCCTTTCTTTTTTTATTGACATATCCAATGTGACATAGACAGAAAAGCTAGTCATATAACATCACAAAAATTACAAGACAACTCCCTAAATGTTGTCAAAGTTTTTAAATATACATTATCAAGAATCATTATCTTGAAAGGCATAAAATCAACGCCATGTTTTCTTTATTCGACACAGAATTTATATTTCTTTTCCCGTTGAAACTACTATCATTTATAGAAATATTTGTTCGTGCATTTTGTTGGGAAGTCCGTTTATTTGAAGAGGGGCAGGTGGGCAAATTAGACAATTGGGGGCAACGCCTGGAATGCTTCTCTTCCTGTCGAATTTCTCTGTGATTTTATTTTATTTTACTGTGTCCGAATAATTTTCTCTGTTCACATAAAGACTTCTAACTTTATATATTTTTTCGTTCTAGCATACAGCTATAAATAGTATCATATAACTGAAAATGAAGCTTTCGTAAATTTATGGAAAGGTAATGGAAAATAACTCTTAAGATCATTCATGTGAAATTCATGGCAAGAAACTTAGTATAGAACTTTACGAATATGAGAAAGGTCCTTATCTTGTATACCTGTATCTTGTGTCAGGAGTTTTACTAAAAGTTTTATGATTTTATTTAAATTTCACTGACTTCATTCAACTTGTATAAATTTTGGAATAAATAACTGTAAATGTAAATTGCACATTTATAAATAAAATTGGCAGTGTGCATACATAAATATAACGCATCAAAATTTGTTATTTCGGTTGAATCAGCTTAACTCGCTCAGTTGGATACTCGTTAATAAAATAATTTTGCAGAACGGCTAATAATGTTGATTTTTAGTTTTTTGTTTTAGTTAAAATTCGTGTGTTGAGTAGGTAAATATAATAAAAGTGAAATGCTGTTTGTTCGTAAGCGCATTATTTGAGTATGACTGGACGGATTTTGATATTTTTTAAATGTTCGAATAGTCCGAGTAAGATTTTATTTTGGAAAAGTTGCTCGAAAAGGATAATTCGGGAGAAATTGAAAGTATTAATATGATACCTAATAACTTTTTTTCTATATTAATGTACGTCTGAAAAGATTATAAATAAATTTATTGAAATTGGTATAGTACAACGTCTCTCGGGTCAGTTAGTATTTCTTGAATAAATGAATGAAATTTAATGAATAAATAACGACGACAACGTTTAACCTTCTAGGTATATAGATAAACTTAAAAAGTAAACCCTTTTCTAAATACAAAATTTGATCCAAATCGATCGAGCCGTTTCCGAGATACACAAAAAAATATATATACATAAATACAAGAATTGTTCATATTTGAACAAATAATAAAGCTTTCTAATAGCAAATTGCTTTTAATATAGCGTATTAAAATTAAAGGTTGATGGCTTCCTCGTAATTTAGCATACATACACTTAATATTTACAGCTGTTTGTAATATAAAACCATTACATGTTTATCACTTCTATCGTCGCGTTTACCATAATGTTTATTATTCACGGATACATGCTTGCATCGTAACTCTATTTAATGTCTTATCAACAAAATATCCTAAGCCTTCAAAATATTTAAAAGCTATATAGCTATATAGTACATTAGCATTGCCCACGGTTCCGCCCGCGTTCAGACAACTAAAAACCAAATTCTTAGGTTTTACATATTTGTATACTCTTACATTGCAGTTTTTGTATTTTTTTTCAGAAATGAGACATTTTCTTGCGGTAAAAACTATTCTATATGTTAACCCGGATAACCAGCTATCACCATACCAAATTTTATCAAAATCTCTCCAGCGGTTTTTCTGTGATGCGGTAAAAAAAACTATAGATTCGGCCTCTGTATCGATAATAATGTCTATTACAATAAGATTTTCCAAAAAATATTTAATGTACAGATTTCACTTAGATTTTTATTATATGTATAGATTATTTCGTATACGATTTTCGGGGTAAAAAAAGAGTTGCCCCTTTTGTGTCAATATTAATACTGAGCTTGTTAAATGATTATTAATTAGACTGAGATAAATATTCACCTTGTGCAGGTATCAAACCCACGATCCCAGGGCCGACAATATTAGCCAGCTACCAGCCCTCTAGCGCCACAGCTTCTATAAATCAAAAAGAATAAAGATAATATCATGTATATCTTCAAGCAATATCCCTTGTGAATAATATGCGAGAGTACAAAAAATAATACCTGAGTAAAGTAATACAAAAAATGGAAATGTCATAAATTCTAATCAGTATACATATTTATTAGATTTTTCTTCAAACGAATTAATGTATAATATTTATTTACATATATAGTATGTACATATATAGAGATAATATACAGGTCAAAGAGAATATAAATAACTTATATTCCGTAACATCAAGTGAAATCTTATGCCGTAATTATTACATACATATGTACCTATACGGAAAAAGCTACACAAGGTCTCATAGGGCTTGAGCAAAGCACTAGTATCCTATGCTAAAATTACAAAGATACTTTTTTTGTTTTCGGTTTTTTTATTGGAACCCGCTATTTGTTGGATCCTTCCATTTGATTTAATTTTTTTCCGAATTTTATGGCCTGAATGGGGACAGTTATGACTTCTTACGACTCTAAGAACGGAAAAATTATAGATAAATGAACTACACGTGTTCATAGGAAAAAGCCAGTTAATAATATACTCGCGTAGAAAATTTCTGTAGAGTTTTAAAAATAAGTAATTAAATCTGTAGTAAAGATATTTCGAGATAGTAGTAGATATAAGATAGCATTCAGCTAAAAGCGGAAATGGTACAATTAGAGAGGAAAAGCTAAACAACTCCCCTTTGCTTGTGAATCGAAAGTGACTTCATTATACAAAGGTTTTTATTTCGCTAGCGATGCACGGGCGCTATTTTAATAATGGCTTCTTTAACGTGTTTTTGCCTTGTTTGTTTTGAGTATGCAGGTAGTGCATGTTCTATCTATATATATATATATATATATATATATATATATATATATATAGAGTTATTTTAAAAGAATATAATTTTTTGCCCTTTACATCTTATTCTTTTTAATTGTCTTTCTTTTAATAATACATGTCAAAATATTTTACCGAATTTTATACGATGCTTTTTTCTTTGTAAGGTATAACGGGACAAACAGACAGAAAATTAAAACAGGTGAGATGAATTTTTTTATATATATTCTTTATTGCATATTAACAGAGTAACACAGATAATACAGAGAACAATGTGGGCAAAAGTGGACTTGTCTCTAGAAGAGATCTCTTCCAGCCAACCTAAGGAAGTGAGAAATAGTGTTATATGACGGGACTAAAAGTGTGCAATTGATTTAAGATACAATTATAAATAATTATACGATTAAATAAGATAAAAAAACACATATAATGAAAAATATACAATAACTTACATATTATACATACTATATACACATATGTATATTCAGCCCTTTTTATCGTCCCACTGCTGGGCACGGGCCTCCCTTCAGTACGAGGGGAATCAGGCCATAGTCCACCACGCTGGCCAAGTGCGGGTTGGCGGACTTCACATGTCTTAAGAAAACTTGCTAAGTTCTCTCAGACATGCAGGTTTCCTCACGATGTTTTCCTTCACCGTAAGGCAAGTGGTAATCATGTTAGAAATGATTCGCACATGAAAATATCAGAGGTGCGAGACCCGGGATTTGAACCCGCTTCACTCGGTTTCTCAAGCGAGCGCGTTACCACTGGGCTACCACTGCCTATATACACATATACATACATATATATACATATTAAAGTATAAATATAATCGTATGCATTTGAAATACAAAAAAATAGTAAATCAGATGATAAAATTAAGGACCAATTTGTGACAGAAGGTACTGTTTTAATTTTTTTTTAAAAGAAGTTATGCAGGGGCTTTTTTGGATGTATTTAGGGAGTTTGTTCCAGAGTAATTTATCCTTTATCTAACTATAAATTATTTGATATTTCAAGTAATTGTTTGAGATATTTTGTGTCAACCATTTCAATGGACATTCTTTTCAAAATATAACGCAAAGAAACAATAAAGGCGTGACATTAACGTTAGAAAATTACTGTTCTCTGTAATTACGAGTTAAGAGCTTGTTCTTAACAAGCTTCGCCTCCGGGGAAATTCCTGCTTTAACTGTCGTATAATTGGCTTTTCATGTTGAATATATTCTGATAGCATTCGTTATTCTACATTTGTTTCATCTTTTATCATTTTATAGAATTGGGTATAGAAAAATAGGTAAGTACTTTAAAAAACTTGAAATTATCTCTTACTAGCAGAACTCGCGGCTTCGGTCGCGCTAAAACTATAAAAAAGTCTCTAAAAAGGTTTCACACAAACTTTCATTCCCTATTTTACTCCCTTATAGGACAAATTTCGAAAAATGCTAATTATTTAATTTTATTGAAGAGCATATATACCAAGTTTCAAGTAATTCCGATCATAAATATTTTTTGTATTGTATTATAACGTGTTTTCCCGTGGGAATTAGATGATCTCCGGCGGTAAAAAGTAGCCTATGACACTCTCCAGCTCTCCAAATAAAAACTCCTCACAAAAAATCACGCCAACCCGTCACTCCGTTTCGACGTGAAAGAAGGACAAACAAACAAACACACTTTCACATTTATAATATTAAAATATGGATTTTAGCTTGATTGGTCATACACTCCAAAATATTCTTAATTTCTTACCAAAATTATAAAATATAATGATTTTATTGTCCTTAACTTGAGAAATAATTTGTTCCCAATACACACTTTCAACGCCTAATTCACCACTTTTAAGTTTTATTTTTGCGACAAAAAGTATCTTATGTCCTTCTCCTAGGTCCTATACCTCTCTACATCAAACTTTATCAATATTGGTTTAAACATGAAAACGGAACAGACAGACAGACAGAGTTACTTTCGTATTTATAATATTAGTATGGATTAATTTTCTATTTACCTATTTATAATAGAACAAATAAACTTTTCTTACAAAGATTTCGACTTTCTCAATTAATATTAATTAGACTAATTTACAAACATTTGTTTAAAATTTTAATAATATATATTTATTATGAGATAATTATGATTGATAGAAAATCGTTGAATTCACAATCATGTAAATTGTTATTCATTCAGCTTATATTATGGTTCAGAGTTCGAAAAATGTTACTCTAAATTTTAACTTTCAGATGTTTTAGCGTATATATATGTTACGTATATGTCTATATACTTACATACATATTATCTATGAATACGGTCTTATTTATTCTACGTGTTTTAAATGAAACTATCTTTTCTAAACTATTAGTTATAAAATAAACTGAGCTATCTTTTTAAATTTTAGTTCCCAACGTTTCAAATGCTTTACAGCGATCATGGTCACACGAGAGACGAAGGAAACTAAAAATTACAAGTTTCAAAGGTAAATTGATATAGTTATTATAGATAGTGCCTACAATTAAAAATAAGTCCGCGAAAAAATCTAAAAGATAGTTTTATTTAAATATTCGCGTAAATCTAAGAAAGTTTTTTTTTATTTGTATTATTTTAGCAAAATATCAACTTTTACGATACCTCTCGAGTATTGTAAAACTTTATACGGTTTCGGTTATTAAATGATTTCTATATATTAGTATATCAAAATTTCGTAACTTTAGCTAGTAAGCAAAGAAAAATAAGGATAGAGTAGACATTAATAATATAAATGCAAAAGTTTTTTCACAAATTGTGAGTATGTGTTACATTTTCATGCTGTAATGGTTTAATAGATATTGTTCTTATTAAGAAGTATCTTATTAGTATTTAGTATTATTGTTATTCCATAATAGGTATCTTAGAGGTAAATTCAACGAAAATAAGTACATCCAAATATAGTCATCAATATAATATTAAAATGTGTTTCAAAAAAGATTTTTATTCTAACTAATAGACTAAAAATTTGTCTTAAAATACATTTTAATTTTTGTTACAATAATAACTAAAATAGCATTCATAAAATTGGAGTGCTATTGTATAAATAAATAACTTCACGTTGTAGTCCATTAACTGTAGATCCCCGTAGAGATTTCGTAGAGCTTACCGTAGCACTTGAAAGTAATCGTTATTTTTAAACGTAATTAAAAATATTTTGTAGTTTGTTGCTTAAGTTTATTTTCTCCCACTAAAAAAGTAAATATAAAGGACAGGCGAGGTTTAGTAACTAAATAAAAATGTTCAGGATCGTCTGTGACTTCGCTGAAAGAGTCCACACTTAAACGGGTGTGAAGCTCCATATGATATCTATAAGAATTTAAATTCTCTTCAACTTCTTTATACAAATGTATATATATACATATGTATCTTGATGTTGAATTCATAACTTATTTCTACAAATATTTCCTTATTCTTAGTGCACTGAACCAATTTAATAATATCAAAACAATATTATTCAATTACTGTTCATTTTTTCCGTTTTTTTTTACATCAAATTGTGTATTTACTATAACATATTTTATTATTTAAAGTTTACTTTAAAGCAATCATTTTATCATATAATTAAAATACTGAGTAAAATATTGTTGAAGAATTTTTAATAACTAATTTACATCCTGCATTTCGTAAAGACTAAATCTGATTCTTTTGAAATTATATTCAGGGAAAGCTTTTCTCCTTAAGAACATGAATTGTAAGTTTCAAGCTAATTGCTATTTAATGTGCTTTACAAAGCTCTGCCATAGTGCTTAAGTTACGGTACCTAAATAATTTAACATATTTTGTTTTTAATCAAACGATTTATGGTCTAGCCTTATTGTTATATACATATAATAATATATATATATATATATATATATTTTATTGCACATAAAAACTAAAATATACTACAATAAATTAAATTATAGGGTCTAGTTTCTATTATGTGTATCAGGACAAAAATGGCCGTGATAAGTTAGGAATTGAAAATTTTAAGCTGCATTTTCATTAGATAGGACAGAAATATAATACTATAAAACGCGTGTGTGTACTTTTGTACGCACGTATAAAGTTATACTTCTTTGGCGTAACAACAAAAATAGCTTAAGATTTCCTCCCGTATTTCACAACTCTCTGTTTGTAAACGGAAGGCAGCTAACTTCAGTAGTAAAAATTTAACTTTCATAATTTTTTCCAAACGTGCCAAAAGAAGTATAACTTTAATAAATATATTTTTACTAATTTTATATACAGAAGGTTAAAATAAAATTAAATTTGAACTTTTATTTTTAGAGATAACATATTGTAGTGTGTATCCGAGAAGTTTAATCAGAGTTCATTTTGAAAAAAAAAGTTGCTGAAGAATATAGCTAAGTAGTTAAGTATTACGAAAACTTCAGTTTTGTCGCTAATAGTGTACAACCTAAAGATAAAAATCTTATTAATGAGCCATATTTGAGTATACAAACCCAAAAAGTGGCCATTAGCAATATGATTGGTTCATCAGTTTGAAGTCGCTCATTGGCACTTTTACTCAAGCTAAAAATACAAAATGTCACGTTAATCGAACTTAATATTTTAGTTATTATTAGTGCTGCTTGATAAATTGTTTTTGACTATGGTAAGATTTATGCTTCCCATTCAGAATAAATATTTTGAGGGGCAGGCATAGGAGAAGGGATTTTTAACTGTAATTATTCTCTTCCAGCGACAGATGGACCTTCCTTTAATAATAATCGATTCTTGCTCAAAATGAAGCGTTTACGACACCGGTAATATTTTAATAAAATTCATTAAGCGTCAAATTTATTTTATATATACTAGCTTCTCACCCTCGCTTCGCTCGGGTTCACCTCTAGGAAAACAAAAACGAATCTATCCCACGCAACCGTACATTTTCCCGGGATAAAAAGTAGCCTATGTGTTATTCTGATATATGAGCTATATTATTGTTTGAGCTACATTTGTTGTAATTAAAATTTTATTAAAACCCATTCAGTAGTTTTTGTGTGAAAAAGTAACAAACATCCATACATAATCACAAACTTTTGCATTTTTAATATCAGTACGATGATAGCTTAATGTCCTTAATATTTCAAAGTTCCGTTTAAAATGTTAGTGGGTGAAATATTAGCTTTAAATTTCAATCTGAAACCAATTTCAATAGTCGACGACGGTGTCAATATTGATATGATGCATCATACAGCGATGTTACTTTTATTCTTAGATGAAACTTATACATATTTAAATAAAATTTACTATTAAAGTTGACAATATATTAACAATATATATATATATATATATATATATATATATATATATATATATATATATATGTATATATATATATAATTTTATTTAAAATATTCACAAAAAATAATTCACAGATAAGGTTGTTTTTAATTCATTAATTTATTTCCACGCTCTTCTTTCTTTTATGCAGCGCAAGCATTGCTTCATAAAAGAAAAAAATCCTTTTCAATACGCTATCTACTTTCAGGTATTAGTGGGTGTACCCAGCACTGCACTTGTCTTAATTAGAGCAGTACTTTTAAATAACAGAATGTCAAATGCCAAGATTTGCCTTGTACAGTAATCGACCCACTGATTTTGGATTGCAGGGGTTTCAACCACTATTCTCTTTAAATAAGTTCCATTTTATTGTTAAACAAGCAGGGCTTGAGCTCCAGTTCGATATTCCATCATTAACAACAGCTTAAATATTTTCATACTTTTTACTTCAACAATAACCTCTAATTAGGCTTAGTTAAAGTTGTTTTAGATGGAAATAAAAACAATATTTTTACTTTGCGAAAATCTAAACAGAATCGATATTATCGATTACTGATCGTAAAAGACTGTACCTTTTAGATCATCCGGTTTGATCAGTTTTTGTCTGTTAGGTCATTCTCTAACACTTTAATTCCATATATTAATATATAAAATGGTATATATACTATATATATACCATTATATTGCATATATATTGGTTTGTAATATTTACAAACGTAACATAATATGGTGATATAGAATACTCATAAGTAAGTTGATCTTACAATAAGCTTTTCACCTATTTTAATATTAAAGACGCGTTCTAAAAAATGTAAATGGTAAATGATCATATTAATATTATACATATATCAAATAGCTTTTTTTTTGCTATTTAGCCCAGTGTTTGATTTTAGACCATAATCATTATTGATAAAAATATAGGATACTTACAAAAATGTTTTACTAATAACAGTAAAGCCCGTAACAGCTATCTTGTAAAGCTTGTAATAGCTTCTAAACAAAGAAAGAGAAAACCGGTTGACAAATACAGGGGAAAAGGGTACTGAACTAATTTGTCTTTACTTATTTATATATAGACATATGCATTTGATGATTCAATTAAGATTCTTGGTAAAAAGCAATAGCTAATAAAATAAAATTAGATAAAAAATTTACTTCAGTGTCGAGTATAAAACTCGTCTGGAAACTAGCACGATGCTTTTCTTAAGTGATTAATATGTTTTTATTGAAGCTTTGCGATTAATTTATAAAAGAAATTAAAGATAATGAATTCATAAATATTATACCATACTAGCGTTGCCCGCGGCTCCGCCCACGTTCAGATGACCAAAAATCAAATTCTTAGGTTTTACATATTAGTATACTCTTACAATACAGTTTTTGTATTTTTTCTCAGAAATGAGATAGTTTCCCGCGGTAAAAAGTATCCTATATGTTGACCCGTATAACCAGCTGTCACCATACCAAAATTCATCAAAATCCCTCCAGTGATTTTCTGTGATGCGGTAACAGACACATAGACAGACAGACAAAAATTCAAAAAACTATAAATTAAAAACTTTGTATCGATAATAATGTTTATTTGAATTAGATTTTACAAAAAATATCGATTGTACAGATTCGGCTTAGTTACAATAATTTTATTATATGTATAGATTAATTATTATATATTGGCTTGAATGGTGTCATTTCTACTCCGGACGGGTAGTAATGTCTTATAATATTAGCATGAAGCATAAAATGTTAAATATTCGCATACATCTAAGAAAGTATCATAAATGTTTTCCTCAAATTTTTAATCGATTTCCAAAAAGTATGTTAAGTAAGTTAATGGTATAAGTCCAAAATGTATGTTTTTTTAAAGCCAGCCAACAATATTTTAAGATATGAATATCTAATAGGTAAATATGTATTTTACGTATCGAAATATATTACTTAGATTTGCTTTGCATCAGCTGGCACCAACTTTGAAAATATCTGATTTAGTATCTATTCTAAATGAAAACTCCCGTTTAGTTATTTTTTAGATTTTAGTACCTTGAAGTCGGTTTTTTTTAAGTTTTTGTCAATAATGATTGAGATCGAATTTACCACTCAGCGAACACTAGTTTTATTTAGTTTTTGACTTGACTTCTATACTGACCGTATTGAATGTACGCCACATTCAATACTACGAGTAACTTCTATCTAAGATTGTTTTATCTCTATATTTCAGCCCCTAGACAATTTAGAATTCCAAATACGGAAAGCAAAAACAAAGCACGGAAAGCTCAAGCTGTAGATTTAGATTAACTCAATTTATTGTGATAGATTTAGTTTTTTTACGTTTAGTCATATATAGGAATTCCGAAATAAATATTTGAAATAATATTTTCAACCGACTTCAAAAAGGAGGAGGTTCTCAATTCGACTGTACTTTTTATTTTTTAATGTTTGTTACCTCAGAGCTCCGTCATTTATTAACTGATTTGGACAATTTTTGTGTTGTTTGAAAGTGTATACTTCCGAATTGGTCCCATTTAAATAAAAATACTACCCCTAAAGGTGGATAAATAGCTAATGATGAATTTAACCTACTTCTAATTGTCATATTGACTTGAAACTTTGCAAGTGTTTCTATTTCCGTTGATAGTACGTGCTTTGGTTAAGTAATTAATGCCTACCTATTAAATACATACCTAATCAAATATTTTTGAAATCGGTGCCAGCCCATACAAAGCAAAGCACACCGACTTCGAAAATATTTGATTAGGTATGTATATTAAATGAAAACTACCAATCAGTTATTTTTTACTTTTTAGTGCTTTTGTTTGAAGTCGGTTTTTATTTTTTTGTTAAAAAGTTTTGTTAAAACACAAATTGTTAATTATAATGCAACAAAATAAAAAAATGATAAATTCATCGCCTAGCTATGAAGCTATATAACAATGATGTTAGATCAGCTGTAAGTGTCAAATATTATATTATCATCTGAAATCTACACCAAATGGAAAATTAAATAATTATTTAGAGGTACTTTGAAACCGACCTCTGAGATTTGATAAATACTCGTATCAACAGCTAATAACTTAAGCATATTAAAATGAATTTAAAACTCGTCACAGTTTTATAATATGAAAATATAGTACAGTTCAGATTCAGCCGGCTGGCATTCATTATCTTCTATGTAATGTAGGCGCAAGGTGTCTTAATATGAGTCGTTTGCCGTTATTACCCATGTTATGAAGGTACACGTACTTGTATGATCAATATACTCGCACGTGTGTAACCAGCTTTATGTTAAGGTCTAAAAATTATAAGTTATTACCATGGTAATAATATGTAATTTTTTTGATCCCAGAGCTGGAGAGTAAAACTATTCAAAAATAAAACTAAACTAGAAAAGCCCTATACATTGGTGTTTGATCTGATGTTTTTCAGTATCTTAAAATTATAACTACAATACAGTAAATATTTTGTAGGCCAAAGAAAAAGATAGGGTATTAGGAAAATAGTAATTTTAGCAAAAAGTGTCGTTATTAGATAATATTATTATAATAAAAGTAAATATACATACGTATATGTGTTTCCTAAATGTATGAAGACATTTCGTTTATTACGTTTTAAAGCAGTGCTTACAAACTTTAATGGTAAGACGGCTCTATGAAGCAAGTTTTATATGATTTTTACGAGACATTATTTTTTTACCACTTCATGATAATGAAGCAGTTATTAATTTTATCGATCGGCTCTATTGTTTTGTTTTTCAACATTATGTTGCACGTACGAGTATATCTCATACATACATAACGTGACTTTAAACTTTCATGGGTATTGACAATATTTTTATGGTAATGAAAATTTCCCATTAATATTAGGTATAAATGCGAAAGTTTGAATAAGACTGAACGGATCTATATTAAATTTAGTATATAAATAGATTATAGTCTGGAATAGCATATAGGTTAAGTTTTATCCCGGAAAAATATACCGTTCCCGTGGGATAGATTTGTTTTTATTTTTCACTAGGGACTAACCCGAAGCGAAGCGAAGGTGAGTCGATAGTTAGTAATAAATTATGTAATGAAGGTAAGTAAAGTAAGTAATCTTGTTTTACATCATGAAAATAATTATTTTTCTCATTATTAAAAAAAAACTTTTATTTTGGTTTCACACAAGAGAAGATCGGGGTGATATCATTGGTATCACCGGATGTATTCGGCATATCTCACGAAGGGAATAAAAAACCTTTGAAGGCGGGTTAGAAACTAATTAATCGTATTCATACATATGTGTATGACCTCGTTAATGAACACTACAATTTGAAATTCCAATTTTGATTTGATTTATTAAATGAATACGAGTAACGATGAAAAATTAGTGTGTTGCATTGAATTTTAATAGTATTTATGCATGTCAAGAGTTTATTAATGTCAGCACTGAATTGAAAGCATTAGTTGTGGCTATTTCACCAGTTTATTGATTGACATAGTTTGTCCAGTTAACGTCTATCATTGGTTTATTTATATATTAGCAGCTCACCCTCGCTTCGCTCGGGTTTGACTCTAGGAAAATAAGAACAAACCTATCCCACGGGAACCGTACGATTTTCCGGGATAAAAAGTATCCTATGTACTATAACAGACTATAATCTATCTCTGTGCCAAATTCCATCTAAATCCGTTAGCTGTTCTGGCGTGATAGAGTAACAAACATCCATACATACTCACAAACTTTCACATTTATAATAATATTAATATATTAATATAATATATAATATAATACGGACTAGTTTTTGGTTATGGATTTGTTCATGTATGAAGTTATTAGCTGAAAATATTTTCAGTTCAGATTTTTGTGTCATTACCAAGTCCTCGTTAGATAAACTTGTCAACAAAATTAAAAAAAAAACCTTAATTACGCCTATTTTAGGCAGTAGGTACATAAATTAAAAGCTTAAAACACATTTTTTTCGTAGTCGAACGGATTTTTACTATATTAGTTTATTTTCCTTGTACATTTCAGAAGGGAAATTATTTATAGCTATAAATAAATAAAAATATTGATTGATGTTCGTTATTAAAAACTCATTACTAGTTTATAAAAGTAATGTTTTTATATAAACCTACTGACGGTAAAGAAAGTTATGGTTCATTAAATTTATTGGTATTTTATGTCTGTATCGCATTAACATCTTTTTATCTTTTAGCCTCCATCAGAGACTATAATTATAGAAAATGGGCGGCCCGCCCTAGCCTGCGCAATCAGGCCGAGCATGTGAATGTGTGTTTTTATTGTCTTTTGTTATCGTAGAGAGATAAGCTTTAAAGTTAGTAAAATTCTTTCAAATTCAAACCATTTTAATATACTTATTCAATCTATCTATACATGTGATAAAACTCTCACTGAGTCCAATCTGTGCATTAAATATTTTTCTGAAAATCTTATTAAAATAGTCATTATTATTGATACAAAGGCCGAATCTATACTTTTTAGAATTTTTGTCTGACTGGGAACGCATCACGAGAAAACAACTAGACAGATTTTGATGAAATTTGGTATGATGATAGCTGGTTATCCGGGTCAACATATAGGATATTTTTTACTGCAGGAAAATATCTCATCTCTGAGAAATTTATACTAAAAGTTAAAACGTAACTCGAGGTGAACCCGAGTGGAACGAGGGTGAGTCGCTAGTATAGGTACTATATTGTAGTTATTTCGTTATATTTATACAAACGAAAATCGGCGACTTATGGTCAGTTACACATAAATGCCCTATGATATTATGGTTAAATACATCGAATGAAATGAAATCCTTAATTGAATGGTTTAGAATCTAGCTCGTCCACGAGATATCACGACATTGAAATATCCACAAGCTTTCACATTTACAAAATTAATAGCATAGGATATATTTTGTGATTAAAGTTATTCAATGTAAGTAAATCTACCAATTATTATAGTGAATTTTAAGTGGTCTAGTCGGGTATAATGATGTTCTTTTTGCCGATTCCGGCTACAGCGGCCAATCTCACTGAGACTAGCCAACAGCGCAGAAGATATTATAGTGCACAAGTGTACGCGCAGACATAAGTGCACTCTCTATTCCTGTCACTCTCATAATCCGGTGGGACGACCACTCGACACGACCGGTGAGAGTTAAGGCGCAGGACCGACGGCTTTACGTGGTCTGCGAGGCACGGGGGTGAAACACCGCCAACTTCCCACTGAGGCTTACTATACAGAAAGACTCAATAACTAAACTTGGCCCGACCCGCGGCTCAAACCCAGGACCTCCGGGTGTGCAGCCGTACATGCTAGCCACTACACCACCGAGGCAGTGAGTCGGGTATAATAACGATAATACTATATATGTACAAATGTAAGGTAGTTCAAGTTTACATCTTCATATTACATAAAATTTACTACACCAGGACATATAAGTTACGTGTCCATAGCATATTTATAGGTAGCATTGTCACTAAATCGTGTTTCACGACCTCTCGTAAATTTAACTTAAGCCAGTGTTTGCATCTTACTATATTGCAAGGCAATGCACTGGCGAGGACTGGCGGGACAAATGCATGGATTGTGAATAGAACTAAATAATTCAAATACTTGAAGTCCAACGAAAATCTGCTCCCCGAGAGCTTGTGCTATGATAGAAGGGTAAGATAAAATTATTTGATGGACGTAACCGGTGGAACTTCGCTAAAGTATTAATTAAAATCTTTATTACAGTTTAAATTAAGGCTTTTTATAGTATATTCGAGTAATTATCGTTGTGTCATACTTTCTGAAATATTTTAATTTAGATTGTTTGCTAGAGTTTTGGGCTAAAACGTGTAAAAGCAAAATTGAGTACTAAATTATGCTCTAAATTTACATATATTAAAATACCTAACGGTGTTTTATAAAGTTATTAAGTTTAAATGTAGCTAAAGGTAAATATGTATTTTTTATTATACTATATAGAATATATATCAAAATTTAATGAAATGGATGAATTGAATTGAAGCATTTAATTCAATTAAATTCATAGAAAGCAAAGTGTTTGAAAGCATTTGTATATTTATTCTATTTGTATGTTACTTATAATAAAGTGAATAAGAAGCTTTATACTTACGAGTACAAGTAAAACGAAATGGCGAAAGGATGTTTCTCTTTTATGGAAAACCTATCGTATTTTCCATTTCAGAGTAAATAGAATAATTCCTTATTTCTTTCTTCCAGTAAATATTGTAGCAATGACTTTTGATTTGATAAATCACCTGATTTATTTTATCATCTACACCATGATGAAAACA